ATCATGCAAGATATCATCTTATACTAACTATAGTTACTATATCTTGCATGATTAAGTTATTATCAAGCATGATGCAAACAATAGATTGATTTATCTAATAAAATCAAATATAACATCAAAATTTTTTTTTTAAATTTTTAATTAAAAAAGTCACAAGTTTTGTTAATAAAAATATAATATACTTGGTTGCCAAAAAAGTTTGTTTTAATAAGAATAATTTTTTTATGTTTTTATTGAACAACATATTTAGTTTTTTTTTTTTCTACTATCTTCTACTTTCAGGCAACATCATAAATTCACTCACCCAGAACTTTTCATCATTATCAGCAAAGACACTCTGCACTTTGTGCAGTCATTCAGGGAATTGAAGTTGTTAATTTTTTTTATCATTATTATTATTAAGAGAATTGGGAAAGAAACAAAAACAGAATAAATGAAATAAAAGGTGCAATATTTGCTGAATAATTGATAATTTATGTGTAGTGACCAAATATACAGTTTATCTGAATGTTAACTAATAATTTAATTGTTAATTGTTGGTTTGATTTGGAGCATTATTTGTTCAAATCAATCATATGGTACTCCAAAAGAAGCACATGACTGGAGTCCTTTCCAATTTCATTATGTACCCAACATAATCGTCTTTGAATAAAGATAAGACATTGGTGTAATTAGGGGTAGTTCATTTCACTTGTTTGATTTTTCTTGCTTTGTGTTGTTGTAAAATATCATTTTTTTCTTAAAAGACATTAAAAAAATGTAGAAAACATACATCAAAACAACTAACATCACCAAACTGAAGCAAATGATTTTCAATGCTTGATTTGGATATTTTGACTGTATATTGTTCATTGGATCACTGTTAACCTAAAATTGCTCTGTATAAAATACTCATCACAAAACTATATGTTGCTTATTTTCTGCCTTCTTAAATGTTAGACACAGTAAATGAATATACACCATTTATAACAATTTAAAAAAATGCCTGTTGATAATGCAGTTGTCACAGTTCAATCCAAAGCAATCTTTTTGAATGAAATTACTTAAAACTAAACACTCCTATTATTGACTAACAACAAATACAGAACAAACATTTTGATCAACCCAATAATTCTGAATTATAAATAGTTACATACATAACAACTGAATGATGAGTAGATGTTTCATTTGTACTATTTATACAATAAATTTATTGAAGTCTATTTTATCATGCATTAGTTTCCTTTTTACTATTTTTTAAAATCTAATTCTGACTGGAAAACCAATTGTAACACTGAAAATAATATCAAGTTTTCTTGTTTCTATTTTTGCATGACATTATGCTAACATTGATAATCATCAGATATTAAACACTGTTTTAATAATATAAACAAATGAGGAGTAGTAAATTAAAATATATTTTCAATTATAAAATGCTTTTATTAGCAAAGTATAGTGAACAAACTATAAAAGATTTCATCCGATTTTTTGGTATTTCTTTTTACAACAAGAATTAACTATCTAAATGAAAAAGAAAATATGTATCTGTTTAATCCCAAATAGCTAAGATGAAAATTTAAGAACTAATGCCATTTCTACACTGTATCAAAATAAATTAAGCATTTAGATGAAATAAAAGCTTATGAACAAGATGAAAAACTCAGTACACCAACTTAAAGTAAAAAAAAGATAAAGCTAACTAATCTTGTTTGAAAATCTAAGCTGATTATTTCAGGAGATTCAGATAAGTAACCTGATCAAGGTGGTTTTTATCATATTTCAACTAAAATGCTTTTGGAAAGAGCCACAACTAAACACTGTTATAAAAACAACAGTGATGAGGGCACAAGTTCAATAATCCTTGTGATACTGACAATGTAAATGTTTATCAGTATTAAACTAAAGATTATACACATCTTAAATTTTGAATATTAAAATATTAAATAGTGAATATTTGTGTTAAACTTGTAACCTGTCAAGAATATCAATTGATTTATTATATTTCCCTACAAAATTTGCACATTCACTTGCAGAAGCACAAAAATAAATCAGAAAACTACAGAAATTCTGAAAGTAAATAAAATTTGTATGTTAAGCAGTGAATCTTAAAATTTAACCATGTCAATGTTACAAACAGAAAAAATATTGTTAATGTATTGACTTGAATTTTGATGAGAACTTGTTTTTATTAGCTGCTGAAAAATAGTCTGAAATTGTTTAAATTTCTGAGGTGAAATTTTTATTCAATAAATAATTCAGACTAATCCTCTCATTGTTTTAATGGCTACTTTTCAACTTATGGACTGTCCAGCTTTTTATCAGTGCTTTTCAATGATTTTTTTCTTCAATTATTACTTCCTTACTGTTAACTGACCAAGATTCATTTGGTACTGTAAATATTAATTTAAAATTCTAGATTACCATACAAACATCTGGGGAAAACCAGAGTGCCTACTCAATTAAAAGTTTAGCATTCTGCTACCACTTTCTTTCAACGTCAAATTTTTGTACAAACTAAACACCAAGAGCCTTGATATTTCTGACTCCTGATTGGTTAATTAATGCTAATATCATGCTTTTGTCTACATCAACATGGTTAAAATTAATTTACTGCCAAAAATCTGTCTATGTGTTTTGAGTCTATCACGTGACATACAACATTATAAATACTTAGCAACATTTTCAACTTTTCCTCTTTTGCCTTTTATCACACACAAGATGTAGCATTGGAGATTATGTCTATCACTTATGGAAAGACACTATGACACATGCACACGCATGTACATATGAACATTGCACATCTCTGAACTCATCTCATTCACTCCTTCAACTACAAGAAGACAGAAACTTATTCAACTTCTAACAGTGAGATTTTCTTCAGCAACAAACATGCTGTCTGAGAGAATACAACTTTCGATTCTTACCATTGAGACCCTTTGAAAATCATCAGTATACATTACTGCCACATCAGTTAAGAATTTAAGTTAAAGTTTTCATCTCTTACCAGTTTTTCACCAGTGAGAATTATTACTTCAAAATCTTCTGGAGCTGTAAGTTTCGATTCAACATATTCTCAGCTTTCTAGAATTCTCTCACTCATATTCATCTCTTCAGTGAACAATTTAAGTGGCAAGTTATTTCAACTTATTTACGCTAAATTTTATTCAGAAGTTTGAAAACTAAAAACTACATTTTTAGTACCAAACACTTCTTGATATTGCAAGTGAAGACTACAATTTCCTTTCACTAAACAACTTTCATTGAACTCTTCTCATATGAACTTTCCAGTCTATAAAACTTTTTTATTGAAGAAAATTTCTTTCATTGAAACTGAACTTTATTTCATGAACTGAAATCTTTTCTGTGAGTTCAGATAAAAATATTTTCTCTTAAAAGGCTTTAAGAATTTCAAGTTAAAGGTAAATAACTGCTGCTATTAATTACAACTCTTACTATATAAAAAAACATCACACACTTGATTGTTTTGTATGTCATACAGTAAAATGAAGATTGTTATTATAAAAACAGATTTTATGTCATTTTTTGTTTGCTGACACATTTGTAAAGTAAAAAAATGTATGGATTGAATTGAAGCTATTCAAACTGCTACATAAATGGTGATCCCAAATAGAATTTGCGAGGTAAAATATTAAGTAATATTTGATAAGAGAACAACTTCCACTCTCACACAATTTGAACATTTTCCACTCACTATTTTCACTGAATCAAATATATTAAGTATGATATTTCTGGGCGACTCATCGTCCTTCATCTACTATGATGCAACACGAGTATGAGAATTTGCAAGCACATTATTCGTTCGCTATTAATATGCAAATTTCTTCATTTTCTCACTATGCTGCTGCTATTAGATTTTGTATGCCAACAAATATCCACAAAGTCACTTTTCAACTAAACTCATGCATACTACAATAACATGGAGCATTGGTATAAAAAGCAAAATTTAAAATAATCAGCTTTTTACAATGGAAGATACTGTAAACCAGACACCAACCGTCACTACATTCAGTGATCACATTCTATTCAATCCTAAACCTAAGAAAAGGCGCAACATGTGACATTTCCCGCTATTGTTTACAACATTTTAACCTAGCTATCATGCTGTTAATAATTTTTCTGTACTGAAGAGATTAAGTGTGAAATATTCCTAGGGTAACCTACTGTCCTGAATTACATTTTATGATGATGTAACTTTAACATAAAAATTTGCTGATGATATTTTGTTATCATTGCTGACACATTTGTAAAATGAAAAAAAAAATGTGCAGACTGAATTGAGGCCATTCAAACCGCTACAAAAATACTGGACAAAACAAAAAATAGCAAAAATACTAGAATATTATTAATATATCAAATAATATGAAACTAACTTAGAGCAATTTGTATAAGCCATCAATGATTTTATATATTTGGCATGGAAAAATGGATTTGAATCAACTGTGGCTCTTGGTTTTTCTATGAAACAAAAACTGTGTGATATAATAATTAATAAAGTACCTTACATCAACTTGAGAGTAAGTAAAAAAGATTTATTTTTCATACAAAACAAAAAATGAAAAAAAAGCAGATAATGTTTAATGCATTTTCCCATCTCCAGTTCAAAAGAATATGATAGATAGAACAGAAAAACCCATTATTAAATGGTTTGATGATTGGATGATATATTTATCTATTATGGATCCAAATATATTATAATTTACAGTGGTTCATAATGTTTTACAACTAGAAAAATTTGATAAGTATAAAAATGTGTAAGTTATTAAATGTGGAAAGAAAAAATATTGGTATATAATGTGAGTAGAAGTTATATTGTTTTAAGAAGTCATCAGAAAAAAATAATTCAAAACTGAAAAATATTAAAAAAAATGCTATATATAAATAATTACTCTCTGCAATATCACATTCTAATATGTTAACCTACCTGATGTGCAAATCTGATTGTTTCACTGAAGAAAATGTTATATAGAACATAGATATAGTTTGAATTCATTTATAATTAATCATATTTGCATAATTACCTGATTTCGCATTGGCTTGTCCTTTATGAAAGACTGGAAGGGATGAAAGGGAAATTTTGCCTCTAATGTGACCCATGGATGAATTTCAACATCCATGAGAGGAAGACGTAAGCTTGGAGAGGGTTCTATTAGTTTGTTAATGAGCTCCTTGCATTCTGAAAGATAAAAAGAAAGTTCATATTAATTTTCATATTCAAATAACAAGAATATGTTACATTTCTTGATTTTAAATATTTTAATATTTTTGATATTTTGATATTTTCATTTATTTTAAAGTAGTCAGAATTATAGTATTTATGGAACAGAAATATTAATTGGAGGTGACAAATCTAATCTATAAGCCTTCAAAAATTATAGTGTATAGCCTCTTCTTCTGCAACAGTCATTTAATATGGTATATTATTTTTAATATATAAGAGTAATATATTACTCTAATGTAGGTACCTTCAAAGAAAAGTGATACCAAAGGTTTAAAATTAATAAACAATCTTTCTTTGAGCTTTTATTTTAGTTTTAATTTCAAGCTAATAGATTAAATTTAATATTTCCAATAAGCAAAATACTTTGCTGAATTTCAAAACTGCTGATTTTAGCTGTATTTACAAATCATAATTCTCTTTATTAAAAATCTTTCAAAAATAAAATATACTTTTCTGAAACTTTGAAGAAGGTCCCTACATGCAAGCCACCAATCTGCCACTAGCATTTACTGCAGGTGGCCTGCTGTCAGACCACTAGCAGTGTTATAACTGGTGACTGCGAGAGGCCACCAGTGGCTGCAACCAGAGGACTGCTGGTGTTGCCATTGGTGGACTGCCAGCAGGCCACTAGCAGCTTGCATGTAGGGAGCTGATTTAAAGTTTAATTAATTTGATTTGAAACAAATATTACTTTTAGTTTAAAATATCACAGAAAAGTATTTTTTAACATGAAGGTGAGTGTTGACAACTATCTCAATAGTTTGGGAATTTTTTCTAAGTGGGAAAATATCACTAAAATTTTCGTACTGATCTGTGCAATGTAAACAAACTGGTGCCATATTTGTTATCAGCACGGTGATTTGAGCATGCCAAATTATTAGAAAAGTGTAAGAATTTAGTGAAATGAAGGGCCGTAAAAGCAGTTTAAGTGATGCTGAAAAGAAAACTATCACCCCAGAACTCTCAAAAGGTAAATCTACCCTAGAAATTTCTAAAATGATAGGGAGGTGTCATCAAACAGTGAAAAAGTTCACCGCCAACCCTACACAAGTACGCAAAAGGGCGGATAGGCAAACCGAGAGTTATTTCAAGTCGTCTCATGTCACGACTTAAATGAGAGGCCACGAAGAACCCTGGACTTACCAGTGAAGAGCTTTTCAGTCGCATTGGGGATCCTACTGTGTCTAAAAGTACTTGGTGTCTGTATCTGAGGGAAATAGCAACAACACTCAAACCTGTATCGAAGCCTCCATTGACAAGAAATCACATTCAAAATCGATTGAAATGGGCCGAGGACAATATGAAGATTGACTTCTCTAAAGTTTTGTTCACAGACAAAACTCGAGCAACACTTGATGGGCCAGATAGATGGTGCAAAGGCTGGGTAATGAACGGACAGAATCGCCATCAGCGTTTGAGACGGCAACAAGGCGGTGGAGGGATAATGATCTGGGGTGGTATTATTGGAAAAACATTAGTGGGCCCATGGAGAGTACCAGATGGCGTCAAAATGACTGCTGATGCATACATATCGTTTATGAAGGAGCATCTTGAATCGTGGATGAAAAGGCAAAGATTTGCCTTCAGAAGGGCTATTGTTTTTATGCAAGATAATGCTCCCTCACATGCTGCTCACAAGACTACTGAATATTTGAAACAGTTAGGCTTCGATGGACCTCGAAAAATGAAGTGGCCAGCAAATTCTCCGGATTTGAACCCAATCGAAAACCTTTGGAGCATCATGAAGCGAAGACTGTACGCCAACGGACGACAATTCAGGAGCAACACTGAGTTGTGGGAAGCAATTCTTGACATATCTCATGGCATTACAGCAGATGACATCCTACAACTGACAAATTCTATGGATCGTCAACTTCTTCAAGTAATCTCAAAACAGGGAAAGCACATTCCCTATTAATTTGTTTAAAACTGTGCCATTGTTTGTATCTGTTATTATTTGTTTGATTATCTTATTTATTAGCTTCTTTTGATCATAAACATTCATGTTCAACCTTAATAAATGTTTTGTTTGCTCAATTCTGGGAATTTTACTAAACCTTTCTAATAATTTGGTATGCTCAAATCACCACGCTGATAAGAAATATGGCGTCAGTTTGTTTACATGGCGCTGATCAGTACGAAAATTTCAGTGATTGCGCAGGTCAGTGTTGCCAACATTGTGTGAACATTTTGTGTGAATTGATTGAACGATTTTTGAAATATTAGAAAAAAGGTATCTCGATAATAATTTGGCACACAGTGTATATATAGATAATATTAGTGGTCAATATATATATATATATATATATATATATATATATATATATAAATTCCCAAGAGGATAGAATCCAGGTAGAACTCAATGTCCAAGACAGAGTAAGAGTATAATATAATAGGGTGAAACACTAATATTCCATGGTTATAATTTATTACATTAGAATCGTAATCACAATCCAATTCATCAGATCTACAAATTCAAAAATTTGTAAGTCTGATTAATTGGATTGTGATTATGATTCCAATGTAATAAATTATAACCAAAGAATATTAGTGCTTCACCCTATTATATTATATTATATATATATATATATATATATATATATATATATACACACACACACCAGGTGTTACAGCATAACTGTCCATCCTACAACATGTTTAATATCTAAAAAAACATTAAACTAATTCAGTTTCTTTTTTCCAGGTTTTCAAATAAGATGTTTAGCTATCTTGATACCATTTGTCATAAGAATCACTGAAAAGCCATTTGAGTTATTCAGCTACAAAGAGAACAGGTTAAAATCTTTCTGTCTCAGGCCTACTATGTCTTCTCAACTGTTGTTGATAAAGATAAGAAACAATGTAGGTCCAAGGTTAGAGCCATAGGGGGCACTTGAACTAATGTGAAATGAACTAGAAACATGTTCATTTAACACAAGATTCATTACACGATTTGTTAAGAATGATTGGATTGAGTCAAATATACATTCAGAGACACTATAGCACTTGAGCTTGTAGAGAAGGGCAGTATGTCAAATCCTGTTGAACACCTTTCTGATATCTAAAGCTGCATCCTGAGCCTTGCCATTTTTATCTAAAGTCTGATAGACAAATTCAGTAACAACTGCTAATACATCAGTGGTAGACCTGGAGAATTAAAGTAATACTGTTTATCCAAAAGAAGGCTATGTTAAGTGAGATGCTTAACCAGTTCGGTGTTGATTAGAGCCTCTAATAATTTACCAACCGACAATAATTTCCAAAAGCATGTTATTACTGAAGAAATAAGATTGACTTTGAAGAACTTTCTAAAAAATAACAAGTAATGAGCTTGATATAAACAAAAATAAAAACAATTATTTTACTGTAACTGAATGCATCCTAATTTTAAATTAGACGAAAAGGCAGATTAGGTTTAATGCAGCAATTACACCACAGAGTAGCCTAGTTGATTAAAGAGTTGGTTCATAAATTTGGTGACATAGTAATTGTGAGTTCAATCCTGGGCAGCATGTACTTAGACTCAGTGGAAGCAGGTCAAGCAATGACTGAGCAATAGTAAAAATAAGAACTAAACACAATATCCCTAGATAGTGAAATGAGAACAGTCTATCTCCATAGATGAAATAAAAGGTTCAGTTCAGAAATCCCTGTAGATTAAATGAAAGCCAGAGGACACAATATCAAAGAATGTAAATAGTGTAAATACCCATTAAAATATGTGCTGGTATATAAAAGTTAATGATCCTAACAAATATCTTAAATTTATCATTTATTACAAAAAATTCAAAAAGTCTAATCTAATTCTTAGCAATAATTGAGCACCTCAAAAATTCATCCTATATAAAAATAATGTTGTTTATCAATTCTCACGTCTTTTGGAAGATTGTATCTCCAATACAAAATAATCAACAAAAATTAAATCCTTACATTGAACACATTTTCTTGTAGTCTGTTTTGTCATTTGTCAAAATTTAGTCCAATTTGTGCACAAGAAAATAATATATATTTATCTACTAAATTTTGTCTTATATTGGACTCATTGCAAAGATAGATTCAAAATTCTAGAAGCTGTTATAATACAAAAGTAATAACCAAAATCAAATAAAACATCTTTCTCCATTGGAGACTGGATATTGAAATGTGGAAAAAAATAGATAGCATGTATAAATTCAGTTTGATCATTGCAAATGATGTCACCTTTCAGTGATTTAAATTATAATTTCAGCAATCTAAAAACACAGAATTTGCTAAATATACTGATAATGACTGCAGTGGCAGTCAAAAGTACTCAAATGTATAAAAATAAACATTGAACAGCTTAAAACATTTACTCCTGCTGTAAAACATCTTAGTTAAAAGTTGGGAAAACTATATAAAAAGTTAAATAGACAAACCTTGTTGATGTTATTCAATAAATAATATTTGTTTTAATGATTTTTTCTCCTTAAATACACATTATATATATATAAATATATAAATATATAAATATATATATATATATATATATATATATATATATATATATATATATATATATTATTGATTTATTTTTAATCCAACATTTTTATTACTTCAAATGTTATTATAGTGGATACAAAAAATAGCCCATTTTTATTTTCTTATATAATAATTACAGGAAACAAAGATTTACTAAAATATGAACATACATTATGAAAAAATGACCCAAACTTAATAAAAATAAAGTTTTATTGTCAAAATCTGCATGTTATTATTATGAAAAAAGTCAAAGGATTTTTGATATTAAAATATATTTTTTAATCATTTTAGAACCTTTAAAATTTTTGATTAAAAATTGTTTTTCTTGGTTCAATAGGTGACCATAAATTACAATGGGAAATTTTAATGTCTTTTTGCAGTGAATTGGAAATTCTTGCAAAAATCAGATAATTGTCATATTTTAATGAAACTTTTAGGACTTATTCCCAAATAAA